GCCCGATTTGACATCCTCGTCCGTTCCAACTGCCTGTAGTTGAGACAATGCTCTCTAGATAAGTGAATGAAGTAACCTCTTTCAAATCCCTCCCGTTGATGGTGATTGACGCTGGATGTTGCTGCTGTTGTTGTTGTTTGGTTATTTTCATAACCTCCGTCTTGTCTATGTTCACTTGGAGTCCTGTCTTTGCTGTTTCTTCGACCAGTTTGTCGGTTTTCGCTTGTAAGTCTTCGATTTTGTTTGACATCAAGCATAAATCATCCACGCGCGAAATCTAGGTCTTCTAGGTTCTTCACGTCGGTCCAGGATATTCCTGTCTTCTCGTTTCCCACTGTCTGACGCATAATCCAGTCCACCACAATTAGGAAAATCATTGGTGATGATAAGCACCCTTGTCTGACTCCTGTGTTTACCCCAAACGCCTCGCTGAGTTTTCCGTTGTGAATCATTTGACATGTGCTCTTGTCGTACTAGCTCACTAGTTTTCTAGCTGGTCCCAAGCCGGGATAAAGAGGGAGGGTTGGGGCGTGGTGGTGGCAACTCCACCCCGAAAACTTAACGAAATCGCTACAGAAACTTCAACGCACAAATTTCCTGACCATAACTTCAACTAAATCCAGACCTGAGGGATAAACGCTTCTACATCCACAGTCACTCACGTAAAATTTTGGTTTCAATTTTGGCTGCTTCCTATCAGTCTGCGTCTGCATACTACTGATAAATCTTGTCGGCCGCTCACACCGTGATAGGGTAAAAATCCTAAATAATACGAAAGCAATAGGATTCAAATCCTGTCCAAGAGGCTTGTTATGATACTGAATGTTTCCAAGATTTCCATATGATACTCATAGTGGAATAAATTATCCACGCGGAAAGGACACAGTTTAAGGTGAGAAATCACCACTTTTCCCTATGGAAACCGAAATCAACATATGGTCTGCTTGATACCACAAATGAAATGGCAGTCAAGAAAGTAAGCTAAATAGCGTGGTACTGTATACTGCCGATTGATTGATATAATTATTTGACGACCTTTCATGCAAAACAGTAATGGTTATAGTCATTATAAACATTCCTTGGGATTAGTAGTTTTTATTGTTCATTAGATAATCTGACAATAAGCTAGTCTGTATGATGCAGCATGCAGCTTTTAATAGGTGATTGCTAAGAAATGTTTATTTTGAGACATTACATTGTGCAAAGTTGATATATAATGCTATTAACAGAAGTTAAGGAGTCTGAAATGATATAGACGTCTAGTTGACATATTATTGAGATAAGCAGATATGGTCAGCGAAGATTAAATGTATGATGAAAATCTGGTTCGTGTTAGGATTTGAATCAGCAGCATATAAATTATTATTTCAGCCCTCTGCTAGCTGAGCTGTGAAAGTTAGCTCCTAATCGGATCATCCACCAAAGACGATGTCAGATATCTTCACTATCAATAAACAATATATGTCAGCTAACTTTTATGTATCACTGCGACCTCATAAACTCTGAGGTTATATATTATAACCTTCCGCATCTATTTCTCCTTAAATAATCAATGGGTATCTCCTGCTCTTTCTCAACACTAATAAGTGATAGAGTAGTAGTACACGAAAATTTGATAAGTAAATCAAAGTTGTTTATCGTTGAACTTGTCAATTAGTTAATAGTAGTAACTTCTGTACAAGTAAATTTCTAGTCCTTACTTTGTGTTCTAGTAGTTTATTTCTACTAACTAATGACCAGGTGGCTTTTGGAAAGCTTCCTTTAATTGTTGCATTTAATTAAAGATTATTTTCTGTTGGCCTTCGTCTGTGTAAACTGCTACTTATCAATGTTATGTATCATTAAGTGGTGGGAGATATCTTAATCCAATCACAGTAAATTTGATTTCCTGAATGAGGATTTTCCGTCATATTTTGGCTGTTAATTGTCTTTTTATTTCAAATATTAACTGCGTAAATTTCCTAAATGTACAGTAATAACCAAGAAAACTTCATAAGCGAAGCATATTACGCCTAAAAGATCTACTTAATACTATTTCATTGAAACTAAAAGTTTTATTTCGATGGAAATTCCAACTTACTAACCGTGAAATTCACGTGGTCATCGAATAAATGTACGTGAAGGATGTTCTTAAATATTGGTGGACTTAGTTTTAGTGCGCCCTTTCTTAGGTCTCAAACTACAGTTTCTGAAAATGTAAACACACCACTTGCAAGGCCTAACATAATCTCTCTTCTTTTCTTTTGTGAATGAAAGATGAAGATTGTAAGAGTCATTGCAACACGATCGACACTAAAATTCAGATCGTCAGCAATGGTAAACCACCGAATATGACAAACGAATAGTGTCAAATATGTGAACATAAAATTAAAAGTAGACACGACTTAAATAGCATAGGTATCTGCTAAAGTACTGTATGCAGCTCCTACCACGGTGTAACTGTTGGATGCGCCGTTCGTAATAATTTCTACTTATTCTAAATGCTGAAACGTTTAAACCAAAAAGAAGCTAATAATATTTCACAATTCAGTCACTAATATACCATTGATTGATGGCATCCAGACGTTAATCGAACTGTAACATTAATGAATTTCTCTCCTACTATCATCAAGTGATACTGTGTTATCATTGATGAATTAATGGGATATTCAAAAATTGATTTTAAAATATAATATGTGCGAATTTTGTCCAAAAGTTTTCTATTTCGGTGTTAGTGTTTATGATATTAGTTCAGAGTAATAAAATACATCTCCTTTATTTTTTATACTCACTCTGCCACAGCTCAAAAACCATCTATGCCTAAAGAGAGAAAAATCTTGAACACTGAATATCCCAAAAGTGTCATTCGTCCACGTACTTCCTTCTCGTGTTTTCGTCTTAAACATTATCTTTGATGAACCAGTAAAATCACATAGTTATCTTTTCGCGAAGGTGGTGTGTAAGAATTCTGCACGTCCCTCTTAGATAATGAGCTAGTTATCGAGCATTCGGTAACTATATACTTTCATAATCGAAGGCATAGTAATCAGTGCCTTGAGAATGCAGTGGAACTTGAAGGCCTTCGACAGCGTTGATCGCGAAGTAATTTGCAAATTACTCGAGTACTCCGGCGTACTTCAAATATTCATCAACCTTATTAAACAGCTGTACGACAACGGCACATGTCAAGTGATTCACAACGGAAAACTCAGCGAGGCGTTTGGGGTAAACACAGGAGTCAGACAAGGGTGCTTATCATCACCAATGATTTTCCTAATTGTGGTGGACTGGATTATGCGTCAGACAGTGGGAAACGAGAAGACAGGAATATCCTGGACCGACGTGAAGAACCTAGAAGACCTAGATTTCGCGCGTGGATGATTTATGCTTGATGTCAAACAAAATCGAAGACTTACAAGCGAAAACCGACAAACTGGTCGAAGAAACAGCAAAGACAGGACTCCAAGTGAACATAGACAAGACGGAGGCTATGAAAATAACCAAACAACAACAACAGCAGCAACATCCAGCGTCAATCACCATCAACGGGAGGGATTTGAAAGAGGTTACTTCATTCACTTATCTAGAGAGCATTGTCTCAACTACAGGCAGTTGGAACGGACGAGGATGTCAAATCGGGCGAGAATCGGAAAGGTGAGAAACGCACACATTCATCAACCTGAAATCAATCTGGAAATCTTCGTCACTCAGAATCAACAGCAAAATTCGGATTTTCAATACAAACGTCAAGTCAGTCAGCTGTTCTATACGGGTCAGAAACTTGGCGGGCGGGTCACAAAGAATATTTCCAATAGCCTGTTGCAGACCTTTATCAACCAACAACTGTCTTCGCTCTACACTGAAGATCAGATGGCCGGGCCGGAAAGAATCACCAACAAGAAACTATGGGAAGAAACAAAACAAGAACCAATCGCCCAAAAAATATGCAAGAGAAAGTGGGGATGGATTGGACACTCGTTGAGGAGGCCAGTTGGTGACATCGCGCGTCAGGCCCTCGAGTGTAACCCGAAAGGGAAGCAGCGAGTGGGTCGTCGGTGCAAGGATGACATGGAGGAGATCGTGTGAAGAGGAGTTGAAACAGTATGGACTAACATGGATGCAGGTGAAAAGTACAGCAGAAGACAGAAGCAAGTGGAGACGTGCAGTTGAAGCCCTATGTTCCACTAGGAACCCAAGGGAATAATAATAATACGGTCGGGAAATACTTTCATCGGACAACTTTTCGCCCGAAGGTTCAACCTTCGGTAAATCGACAAACAATCAGAACAGTTTATTACTATCAACTGAGCTTTAATGTGGCTGCAAATGTATAGACGTTATGCACTTTTCGTTAATAAAAAAGTCCGTTACTAATTATCTTGTAATCTGCCGTTAATCTACCGCTTAAACATCGCACTAATCCTATTTTCAATGAAATACGGTGGACTGAACCGAAATCCAAATATCGGTTGTAATGTGTGGATTTTCTGTAAACGTTAGCGTTGAACTCTCTATCTTGTTTCATTTGCGATAAATAGAAAATCCTAAGCAATAAAATGACTGAACACACAGATAATTTACTTCAAAAAAATTCAAATTTAGGCAGTACAGTTATCAACCATACAAAACATCGTCGAACAGTCAAGCGAACTGAACATAATTTTTTTCTTTCAAGAAAATAAATAGTAATGACATGAATATGAAAGATTTGCGTAAGAATAAAAACGAAATGAATAGTGTAAGTTAACTTGATAAAATCTGCTGTACATAACAAAAACACACAAAAGGAACAGTATTTTTTTATTCATTTCCAAATACATCAACTTATGTTAGTCAGTTAATGTAAGAGAAATGAAGTTAACAAATAACTTGAAATGAGAAAAAGTGTATAAGTGTGATTTCCTGTCATTAGACTTCTTCCTTCACATATACACACATGCAGTGTCTTTATTGGGGGAAAATAATTAAAAGGTAAACTTAGGAAGATGAAAGTTTCGGTGCAGATAAACCTATTTCATCAACTAAGAGACATAATGATACGTGGCAGCATTACTAGCATCCCTTTTCATATAATCACGGTCAATTAAATTTTCAATACGTTTCTTCACATCACTTGCCTATAAACGTAAAATAAGAGACAAATGGATAAGAAAAACTGGATAGTAACATTAAAATAAGTTTGTGATCATTAATACGATATATTTCAGTTTTGACCGCGCATTGACTATAGTTCCAGAACCACTGAAAGCCACGAAGTACTGGACAACTATTTCGTTCTTGCTTGGAATTCCTCAGCAATACGCAGCCATAACGCTTGCAAACCGGCACTCGAGAAATAATGTGACATAATAGGCATAGTCACTGAAATCTGGTTTAATAGATTATTCAAGCAAGTCAATGTACTTTAATGAGTTCAGTTCTGCCTAGTCCATTTAAGATAGCACATTAGTTAGCACTAATCATTATATTTTCGACTATATTGGTTCCCTTGTTTATTTTAGTATTATCGTATGTTCTTTTTACTTTCTCTGCTCAAATCAATACCAGATACGCATCACAAATGGCAAATCATGCCGAAGCTGGGAAATCTTTCTAAACGGACATTTAATAAAGATGAATTGTTGCTGAAATCCTTCACATAATAACTTTGATACCTAGTGGACAATGTGTGCTTGTTACCAAATGTTTCCAAGTTAAAACGAAACAAATATTCAGTATTCCCAAATTTTCAGTGGTTCCCTAACTGACATCTAACTTGAAAACGAAACTGGGAAGCAACTTAGTCGTTACCGATTGTGAAATTTCCAATGAAGATTAACAGATATGTAACGAATAAACTCCTAGTTAATTCGCTTGATCCACACTTGGAAATAACAATTGGTCGGCAAAATTAAATGATTTGGTCTAATATATATTTAAAGCTTTTATTTCATGCTTTAAAATAAACTGAGTTAACTTACTTTAAGCGGAAACTGTAACTGTTTGTAGACCTCTGATAACAATGAATTGTGATCAATAGTTTTACGCGTTTTCATAATGCGTACAATACAACAATCCACATGAGCAACACGATCAGCAAATACTCGTTCTTCAGTAGCCGTTTGTTCTTGTTCCTGTAATGTATATACACATATATGCGTGTGTACGGAAGAATAATAGATTATACTCTTTTTTTAAATACATATATAAATAAACCGAATTGGCAGTTTGTAATCTACAGAATGTAGTGCTACGCCTGAACTGTAGCTAGTGGAAAAATATTCAGATGAATACTAGTTAAATTATGCTTTAAAGGCATTTAAAGCAAACTATTTCATAGTAATCAGAATAAGCGAGCAGCATGACACTTATGAAAGGAATATTATAATAGACATAATAATGCCTATGCTCAAGAAAAAAGATTGGTTGATCGAGTTAAAATGAGAGGTGAACAAACTATGCTGATTTTCACATTATCATGGCGAACGTTATAATGCAAGCCATTATAACTAGGATTGGTGTCAAAACTAACATGTATGAGGTGAAAAGGTAGAAACAGTAAGAGTGTAGCCAACAGTTTATCCTGGTTGACGCGTCCTAGTACCTTCAACATGAATGTTATGAAATGGTTAGATTTTGACAGCAGATAGTAAGCTATAGAATAGCAACAGTTTTACAATTGCCGTAAGACACTGTGCATTTAAGCTGAAGTGTAGGCTCCAATATTCAAGTGGATCTCAAACAAGGGTCTTGTGGCTCCTCATGCAACCCAAATAATTAGTCGTGTTCCGTTTAAACTGAACAGACAGCACTGTAAAAGCACTTTCATGATGCATATTATCTGAAGTTCCTGTAATCCGAATATTCAAAGCTTCAATACAATACGTCCTCAACAGAACAGTTATCATTCAGCTGACTTGAATTGTAAGGATAAATTGTAGGAAGTGAACAGTTTTGAGAACCAAATGTTTTGCAAATTAAAACTAAACATGTCTGCGCTATTCTATAGAATAGATTATGGGCTATGAGTGTCTTTAAAAGTGTCTTGAGAATGACTCAAAATCGCTCAGTAAAACATACTTCGTCACCAGTCTCTAAGTAACATTTTGTGACAAAAAACAATTTGATTAGTATGTGAATGACAAATGGTAGCATTAGATGTCATTAACACGCATATACCAGCTCCTTTTTTTCTGCAGAGTTGAGTACATTGGCTGAATTACGCATTCGTTTGTAAGAAGCGCTAATGTGAACTACCGAGTTTGACTAGCAATCGAAGAATGGAAGTGTGTTTTTGGTTTAGCAGCAGAACAGCCTGTGAACTCAAAACGCGGCTCCAATTACGAAATACAATCAAACCTGTCAAAGGAAGTGATAGGAATTGGTCTGAAATAGTAATCAGTTTGTGATTGGATGACCTTGGTTGACTGCGAAATTTCATCATCTTTCCGTTACCTTGGTCCTGGTCCAGTCGTCAACCAATCAGAATTTTTACTTTCCCTGGACCTAGCCAAATTGCCTACCAATAAGAACAACCCATTTTTCACTGCCCTAGACAGATTTTAATGTGGTTAATAATGTATATATATGAAGTCCTTTTTCCTAAAAACGTTGTACTCAAACGGTCACAGACCATTTCTGTCTTTTGATATTTACGTGGCTCAGTGAAGTGGAAGGTACTAAGGATGAAAAGGCATCTCTGGTCTATCAGTTGGGTATTCCATTGCGTCAGTGTTATTATACTCACGCATTAGTCCACTCGGTCATTTCATCTGGCGATTCAGATCATAACAAACTGACGACAGGTCCATAACAGGAAGTAAGGTCAAGGCATTTGGGTATAGCTCAAGCATTAGCAATCAAAAGATTTGAGGCAATGCTACGTAACCGAAAGAAGTAACGTCGAACCTTTGTGCTTACTATAAGTGGTCAACTTTCTCAAGAAAATCATTTTTAAATGTTTCCTATCCGAATATCCTATTTAATTATTTTTTTGCTTTTTATTTCAATCCTATGATGATTCACCACACTTTGACCCCTGACAGGAAATAGTTCTAAAACTTTTTCACCGGTATCTTACGTATTTTCTTATTGATGACTTAAGAGAAATTTATTCCTACTAGTACCTTCTTTTTTCTTCTCATGATCTAAATAGGTATATTCTGCCGTTTTCTCATCTTGTACCCCAAAGACTGATAGCAAATTCAACAACTGCCTCCACTTTGATAAGGATAATCTGTTTACCAGATTGTATGTACAGCTATTTTTCTATTCTTTGGAGTTCTGAGTGAAGCACAAGGTGTCAAGCTTGAGTTTTGAAGTTTCAGTAGAAGTGGTACATTTTACGTCGTGGGGCTGCAAGCACCACGCCCAATCTTTCTTCTTTTCCAGACTTTCTATCAGTCGGTAAACGAGGTAAGGTTTAGGAGTGAGTCGGTCGAGAATTGAACGCAGACCACGCGGGTTGTTGACTGAACCACAGCTATTTTCATGACCAGAACCAAAGCAAAAACATACTGCGCAGGGTAAAACCCAGAAGAAAAGTCGAACCATTTCTGGTGAATAGTATCATTGTAGGGTTGCCTCTATTTAATTATGATGGATATTACACATATCTTAGGTAAAGTAAAACAATTAACGTTGAAAAGACAACAGCAACAACAAACAAAACATATGACACTTACAGTTTCTTTTAATTGTATCTGATTGAATTTAATTCGTGTCAGGCGATGACAAAACTCAGTATTGAAGATAAATTCATGGTCATTTTCAATTTCCAAATTCTGGAAGTGAAAGAGAAATAAGCAATGCAAAACGTATATTGGTATGAAATTCTTATCGCATAGTGACTAGGTGATGGAATTTTCTTCTTAACGATATTATAAAAGAGAGCGAATATTTTTTTAGAGACAGAAAAATGACTATATAGTACTATTGATGGAATTAGTATTTAGTCATCCAATATACGACAGAAACAGAACACAGTACAGCAATGCACCTTATTAACATCGTCTAGTTCACCAGTCCACTAGCCCCTCCTAAATCTGGAAATGAAGAGAAATGTGGGGGCCATCCTAGCGACTCCACACGTGAAAATCAATGCAGTCGCTACAGAAGCTTCAAAGCCCAGAAACAATATACGAAAGGTAAGCTTACTCTACGCTGAAATGACACGGATTGGTGAAAGTCTTCGGGAAGCCAATCAGTCAACGTGTCTTCTTTCAATGAAAGTGAAAATAAGCAATAGGACATGGAATATCGGCAAGATAGTTGAAGCTGGAAGGGCTTCTCATATTGCAAAAATGTCTTTCTACATTACGAAGTTTAGATGACTATGCTAAATGAGTTCGGTTCTCATATGTGAACCATAGTCTTCCATAAGAAGAAGAAAAATAGAGAATTAGCACCGTGGTCCGCTGGTTCAAGTTTTTACATCAGCACACACACACACAAAGCGATAGAAAGGGACAATAACCAGTAGTATTGTGGTGGTATGATACAAACAATTGGTTCCAGCGGAATATCATTCTCACAGTAAGAATAATTGTATTGCATTGTATAGACTTAATTTGTTCTGCATATTGTAACCAAGAGGCTTACACGGCTATAAACAAAATTGGGTAACTTCGCAGATTGGCTTGGTCATACAGCCTTAAACACATTAAAACGTGACCAAATATATGTAACCTATTTCGTAAATTTGAATCTACGCAGAGTTGTTCGTTGTATCTAGCTAACTTCATTAAAAATATACAGAGCTCGACAAACGAAACGGAGTTCTAGTCCGTGATACATTGACTGAAATAAACTGCGTTCTAAGGTAGGTTTATGATAAACTTGACAGTGAAGGTGATGGGAAAAGGTAATTCCCACAAAAGGCATTCCAACGTTACAACTCTTCTAATGTATATTCAGAAATGAAATACAAGAGAATAAAATACACGCTTAAGGACATAAATAAGACTTCACAAAGTACATATCCAACACCAGTGTTAATGCTGTACTGTACCAGATATTTCAATGAGGAGAACAATATGAAAATACAACATAACGCCATAAAATTAGGTTCATCAGCTAATATTCAAGTGCCGATTCGTAAGCATTTCATTCGTTACAGGATTTCAACAAGATCTGACATAAGCGAGAGAACCCTTGGAAAAAGTGGGAGTACTGGACAGCTGTTTTTTCCGAGTTTGGGACTTTTCTTCAGTATGTACCCACCGGAATTCGAACCTAGGACCTATCAGTTCTAATGTTTTTCTAACCCGTGTGTCATTTCATCACCTAATAGTTCTTCTAGGGTATCCTCAAATCAAAATCAAAATGTCTACAACCACTGTATAGTAAAAATTAAAAATATGTCCTCGAAATCATTTTATCATACATTTGAAAAGCTAGTGGCAATAACAATGCAATCTTGAAATAAACATTCCTAAATTAAGTAACGTTATTGTAATTCCATTACCATTACATAATATGAAGCCTTAATCCTTTCCTACATATGACTTGAAATGCAAGTGTACAGTACGCACAAACCAAACTCAGCTTCATGTCCTTTTTACTATCATGATGGCAAACAAAACCTGACATGCTTATTAGATTTAAGTTGCCGATAGATTTCTCCTTTCTGGCAGTTACTTTTGATAACACAGAGTTTAAGCTTGGTTATAATTAAAGCACAGGCGACTTGTCATAAAACTTTGCATTTATGTGCCAAAAATAAATGCCAGATCCAAGCTATGTTTACCTACAAATAGAGAAAAGAATAACAACCACAGGTGGTTAGCCGTAGATGGTGAATGTTTACACAAGAGGAATTAGCAGTTAACATGAAAATTCGTTACTCATCTTAAGGAAGAAGGAGGTGACACTGGATTAGTAGACCTCTGGAACGCTGGAAAGAGCACTATGAGGTGCAGTTTAATTGGCCTACAGCCACGATCAACCTGCCGAACATCCAACACCTCCCTGGATGGGATATAGACACAGGTCCTCCGACCCTAACTGAGGTCATTAAAGCTGTCACCAATCTGAAATAAGGCTAAGCAGCGGGACCTGATGGAATGACTCCAGAGGTATTTAAGTATGGCGGAGACAGTTAACTGTCTGCATTAACTGACGTTCTAGGCAGCGTCTGGGAATCAGATGAAATCCCATCAGGTTGGGGTACGTCACTGAATATCCCCATATACAAGAAGGGAGACAAGTCTTCCTGTGATAATCACAGAAGGATTAGCTTGACTAATATAGTATCTAAAGTCCTAGGCTCAATAATCATGCGTCGGTGGTATAGCGGTTACGACGTTTGTCGACCATGCATATGGTCCGGGGTTCGACCTCCGGCCGGCGCACTCCTTTACCTAGCTGAGCCAGAAATAAAGTGGCTTAATGGTATACCAGCTCGCCTTGTAACCGGAAGATCCTGGGTTCGAATCCCGGTGGGTGCGTACTGATGAGGAGTCCCAAACTAGGACGAAACAGCTGTCCAGTACTCCCAGGTTTTGAGGTTACAAGAGCTATCAGTAATATCAAACGAGGCAAAGCGGCAGGACCCGACGGAATTATTCCGGAGGTGTTTAAATATTGGGGTGACATACTAGTTTGTAGATTAACTGAGGTACTAGGCAACGTCTGCGAATCAGAGACAGTGCCATCAGACTGGGGCAAGTCACTTATTATACCGATATTCAAGAAGGGAAACAACTCCTCGTGTAATAATCATAGGGGGATCAGCCTATCGAACATAGTTTCTAAAATCCTAGGTTCAGTAATCATGCATAGACTAAGCAGAACTCGGGAGAAACAAACGAGGGGAAATCGAGCAGGCTTTAGACCAGGTAGAGGGTGCATAGACCATATCTTCACTCTCCGACAGATTCTAGAACATAGACACACTTTTCGGCGTCCAACAATTGCCATATTTCTTGACTTGAAGGCGGCCTTCGACTCCGTGGATCGAAAGGTCCCATGGGAATGTTTGACTGTGAAGGGAGTGCCAAGAAAGTACATTGCACTAATCAAGGAACTCTATTCAAACTCACGTAGTCGTGTAAGGGCTTATGGGGAATTGTCATCTGAATTGATAACAACCGGTGGTGTCCGGCAGGGATGTCCACTTTCCCCATTTCTGTTTAACTTCATCATAGATATGCTAGTGGAAGTATCCTTAATTGAATGTAACGACTTCGGAATCGACTTGTTACGAGGGAATAATCTCGTTGACTTAGAATATGCAGATGATATAGTCATTCTAGGCGAGGACGCTGACAAAATGCAGAGTCTTCTAAACACGTTGAGCAGAAATCTACGAATGTTTGTCATGCGATTCGCTCCCGCCAAATGCAGGATGATGTTACAGGACTGGAATACACCGACTCCTAGATTAGAAATAGGAAGTGAAGTGGTAGAGGACGTTGACCGCTTCACTTATTTGGGAAGTACCATCAGCCCCAACGGGTTGATCTCTGACGAAATCTCAGCATGGATACAAAAGGCTCATTTCGCATATACCAGTTTACACCATCTCTGGTGTAGACGTGATATCCGGCTATCGACCAAAGGGTGTGTGTACTGCTCAACAGTCCGCTCTGTCCTCCTTTATGGCTGTGAGCCAGATATGGCCATTGAAAGTGGAAGGCATGAAAAGGCTACCTATATTTGATCGTAGGTACCTGCGTTCTAGCTCCAGTGCGAAGTGGTATACTAAGGTGAGCAATATTGAGGTTAGGCATCGAGTGCTAGGTAAGGAGGGGAAATCAATCGAGGAGGTTGTGAAGTTACATCGACTGAGATGGTTAGGACATGTGCTATGTATGCCAAGCCATCGATCGCCTTTCTCGACGGGCAATGTTAGCTGATATAGGGTCAGGCTGGAAAGGAGCTAGCGGAGGTCAAACAAAAACATGGCCTCACCAGTCAATGAAATCCACAATAGTTAGTCCAAGCCACGTAGGAAGGTGTAGACTTCCTGGTTGGGGTCCTCGGGACGGTAAAAACGAATGGTTGGAAACAATTGGTGACATGGCTCGAAATCGTTCTCAATGGCTCAGATGCATCCACTCCTTGTGACTTATGAATTCCAATGAAACTGTTTCGCTCTTCGTTACTACTATTCCTTTGTCTCACACCTCTGTTTACTGTCTCTATTATGCATTTCTTGTACTTTCTTCTCTTGCTTTGTGTGGTACATGGAGTGTGTCGACTTGAACTGATGCACATATGTGCAAAGTTCTATGTCGAAAACAGACAGACAGATAGTAGACCGTCATACCAATAAGTAATGCCACTACTAAGCTACATGTCAAGATTGACATACAGAAGTTGTGTTGTAGGAATACGAGACGATACGAAAGAAATGTGAGGAAAACTTTAGGTATCCCTAATGCAGATATGGTTTATATATGATAGAACTTGACTAGAGACGAATAGGTCCATATTTACTTTGCTTACGCACTAGTTAGTAACTAGTGTAATGTGTCGATTGACAACTGCTTCCAACCATCTAAAATCTAGATCTGAACGTCACTACATCTGCTTCAGCTTAAGCGAGTGGACATTATTACAAGCTCTCATAAATTAAGCGTAGTAAAAGACTAGCTTAAGAAAACAAAAACTATTATTCTTTACTAATAAAACTTCGAACAGCTTTTAATGCATTCATGCATGAATTTAAGCGTATTGTGAAGACGTGAGGTGAAAAAACACAGTGATAAAAGCAAGTAACACAAACCAAAAATAAAAAACATCCTACTCACGGCTGGATTTTTTAATAATACACGCTGTCCCTTGCCAGCAGCTAATGACAGCAGAGTTCGTTTCAATTCTTTTTCTTCAATACCTGTATTTTCAGCTATCGTAGCATAAGTGATTGGCACATTATCTAATTGGTTGAATTGTAGCAATACTAAGGCTTGAAATTCAGACACTTGTAATTCTTTGCGGAGGTTAGGCGTCTAGTAAAACAAAATGTGCCAAAATGAAAAAAATAAACATTTCAATAGAGTTGAATGCTACGAAAGGTGAAATTTGTGCATCAAGCAATAAGGACAGTACACGCCTTATACACGTCTTTGTACACGTCTTATATGACTGAAAAGGACATATGTCAGAAATTATTGAAAGAATTGTAAAACTAAATTTTTCACAATAAAAGTTTAAAAAACCCAGTTTACTCAATCGAATATGACCGAATCCTGAGAACTTGGCGGTAACGACTCATACTGAGTTTTACTGCAATATTTGAATAATTTTAAGAAAGATGACAGAATCTACTTTATTATATGACTACATATAAATGACAAAGGAATTTCCTTCTACAATATCATGCATAATGAGTAAATAAACTATTTCATCAAGTATGATTACTTTCGAGCTGAATCCATTTAGTGTCAGAATTTGTTAGTTAAGTGAGGTCGATTCGAACAGCTTATTACTATTCCACAATCAAAGAGATTCTATTCACGTATGAAATCCACAACAGTTAGTTTAAACGAGCCACGTAGGTAGGTGTAGACTTCCTGGTTGCGGTTCTCGGGATGGTAAAAACCCAATGGCTGGAGACAATCGGTAGTATGGATCAAAATCATTCTCAACGGTACGGATGCAACCACTCTTTGTGATTTATCATATTCAATAAAATTATATTGTTCTTCGATATTATTATTCTTTTTACCTCATATTTCTGTTTGTTATCCCTTTTGTGAATCTCTCTCTTCTCTTGCTTTGTGTGCTACATGGAGTATGGCAACTCAAACTACTGCACATCTGTGCAGATTTCTACCTTGTATCCAGTCAGCCAGTCAGTCGCGTATGAATATCACATATGAATATAGTGAAATACAAAATTTCGTTGGGAAGTCCGAAACCTTGGTAGCAGCAGTAGTAACTTTTTTATTACAGCTTGATTCCACACCGCATTTTTGGTACATGTATGAAATTTTCAGCATGGATATCGGTAGCCCAAATTTTGCAGGCCGACCATAGATATCAGGTGCGCGTCGGCAGGGGGTCGAACCTTGGACCATGTGCATGGTCGGTGAGAGTCCTGACCACTGTGCCACCAGATAAATGCGTAATGTTAATTACTTTGAAAGCTCTCGTTTTCTCCCCTATATGACCACTACCAACTAAATGTGACAAAATTGAGCTACGGATTGTTTTTGTCTGTCTTTTGCCAAACCACGATGGGAGATGTTCCCTAACACACTGGCTAAGCTGTCTAGTAGTACGCCTAACACAACTGTCTCCACAGGAGCAGTTGAATCGATAAGTACAAGTAGTTGTCGCAAAAGTATCTAGCCTATCCTTCGCTTGATTCCCAATCAGTCGTCAACTAGAGAATGATAAATATAGGTTTGCTGTGTAAAACGTTCTATGCATACTTTTAGCTAGTTTCCGGAACGAAATCTCGCTTGATAAGTCCTCTTTAAATTGTAACTGAACAGATAACAGCTTCTTCAATGAATTCATCGTCATTTCTATTTGATGTTTTCATATGCTTCTTTATGAAACTAATTGGATAGCCCATTTCCGTCATGGAATCATGAATGTATTTAAATTCCTTTTGTAAGTGGTCATCCGTACACATCTTTCCTGCTCTGCTTTTAGGACACTTAACAATATTTCTTTTATATTTAATGGGCACGTAACTAAGGTAGTGTGTATTGCCCTGTGAATTTGCTTTTTCTATACACGCTTCACCCAAGTGACCCATTTTCTTGCCTACTTAGTAGGTCGTCCAGAAAATGTAGTTTATTATCCTTTGCAAACTAACCATCCAGCTCAGAGAACAAAACCACATCAAAAGCATCCACCTGAGCTACAGATCTTCTCTGTCATATCTAAGTTGGGGTTACAAAACGTCTGGCTGGCTGACAGACTTCTATATGGAAGTCCTGTTCGGCGAAACTAATTTCAAACACATACAATAACTTAAGATATTTTTATCGATGTTGTTGTTAACAAGTATGGTAATTATAAAATTAGAAGCTGAAATTACTCAAACCAGTAACATCAGTTATTGCATTTAACGTGAACATTAAAATAAGCAGAAGAAAAGCGATTGTTGCTCAATGGAGTGCAGTTACTGAAAATACCACTTATAACTTAACTAACTTACTGTTGGGAATTTCGCTTTTACAACACACATTCCTAATGATGGTTCATAGATCAGTTTCCGACCTTGGTGATGCGATAAATAGAAGCGAGTAAATTCTTCTCGAAGAGATACCATCTACAAATATTTAAAAGATAAACAGATTAGGCGTACAATAGGACCAATTCAATCACTTTGTTACATCATCTATTGACTTTAAAGGAAACTGTTTGAGCCAAAAACTAATTTTAACATGAAAATGACACTAATGTAGATAGGAAAGAAAGAAAAGATTCAAAACAATATTTACAGAATCTATGTTAAAATTTCTTAAGTTAACTATCTGATGTATACCGGATGAGCAACTAGCCCCGAAATGGACCAGTTACAGTTTACTTTCTGCTAATAACGCTACATAGTTAAGCTGACAAACAATCACAACGTTGTGAAGCCTCCGTTTCTGATATCACTTTGCATCATCTATATGAACATACTTTCTACTCTCCTCAGTGTGTATTGTCCATTAATTAGGAGGATGGGTGAACTAACTGTACACTTGAGGAAATATTGGTAGTGGACAGTTTTGTTAGTATTTTTATAAGTGCCGCTTAGTGAAATTGAACAGCATAATTTCCAAGCCGTTTATTTTACTTCCATCTACATTATTATATACTCTACTACAATGCCATCTGTCTCTTTGTCTGTTATCGACATAGAACTTTGCACATATGTGCGGCAGTTCAAGTCGACACACTCCATGTACCACACAAAGCAAGAGAAGAAAGTACAAGAAATGCATAATAGAGACAGTAAACAGAGGTGTGAGACAAAGGAATAATAGTAACGAAGAGCGAAACAGTTTCATTGGAATTCATAAGTCACAAGGAGTGGATGCATCTGAGCCATTGAGAACGATTTCGAGCCATGTCACCAATTGTTTCCAACCATTCGTTTTTACCGTCCCGAGGACCCCAACCAGGAAGTCTACACCTTCCTACGTGGCTTGGACTAACTATTGTGGATTTCATTGACTGGTGAGGCCATGTTTTTGTTTGACCTCCGCTAGCTCCTTTCCAGCCTGACCCTATATCAGCTAACATTGCCCGTCGAGAAAGGCGATCGATGGCTTGGCATACATAGCACATGTCCTAACCATCTCAGTCGATGTAACTTCACAACCTCCTCGATTGATTTCCCCTCCTTACCTAGCACTCGATGCCTAACCTCAATATTGCTCACCTTAGTATACCACTTCGCACTGGAGCTAGAACGCAGGTACCTACGATCAAATATAGGTAGCCTTTTCATGCCTTCCACTTTCAATGGCCATATCTGGCTCACAGCCATAAAGGAGGACAGAGCGGACTGTTGAGCAGTACACACACCCTTTGGTCGATAGCCGGATATCACGTCTACACCAGAGATGGTGTAAACTGGTATATGCGAAATGAGCCTTTTGTATCCATGCTGAGATTTCGTCAGAGATCAACCCGTTGGGGCTGATGGTACTTCCCAAATAAGTGAAGCGGTCAACGTCCTCTACCACTTCACTTCCTATTTCTAATCTAGGAGTCGGTGTATTCCAGTCCTGTAACATCATCCTGCATTTGGCGGGAGCGAATCGCATGACAAACATTCGTAGATTTCTGCTCAACGTGTTTAGAAGACTCTGCATTTTGTCAGCGTCCTCGCCTAGAATGACTATATCATCTGCATATTCTAAGTCAACGAGATTATTCCCTCGTAACAAGTCGATTCCGAAGTCGTTACATTCAATTAAGGATACTTCCACTAGCATATCTATGATGAAGTTAAACAGAAATGGGGAAAGTGGACATCCCTGCCGGACACCACCGGTTGTTATCAATTCAGATGACAATTCCCCATAAGCCCTTACACGACTACGTGAGTTTGAATAGAGTTCCTTGATTAGTGCAATGTACTTTCTTGGCACTCCCTTCACAGTCAAACATTCCCATGGGACCTTTCGATCCACGGAGTCGAAGGCCGCCTTCAAGTCAAGAAATATGGCAATTGTTGGACGCCGAAAAGTGTGTCTATGTTCTAGAATCTGTCGGAGAGTGAAGATATGGTCTATGCACCCTCTACCTGGTCTAAAGCCTGCTCGATTTCCCCTCGTTTGTTTCTCCCGAGTTCTGCTTAGTCTATGCATGATTACTGAACCTAGGATTTTAGAAACTATGTTCGATAGGCTGATCCCCCTATGATTATTACACGAGGAGTTGTTTCCCTTCTTGAATATCGGTATAATAAGTGACTTGCCCCAGTCTGATGGCACTGTCTCTGATTCGCAGACGTTGCCTAGTACCTCAGTTAATCTACAAACTAGTATGTCACCCCAATATTTAAACACCTCCGGAATAATTCCGTCGGGTCCTGCCGCTTTGCCTCGTTTCAAATTACAGACAGCTTTTGTGACCTCACTTACAGACGGCGGACCAGTGTATATATCCCATTCGGGTGTGTGCTGGATGGCAGGGAGGTTCAGTGTGGCTGTAGGCAAGTTCAATTGTTCCTCAAAGTGTTCTTTCCAGCGTTCAAGGCGTCTACCCTGAGAGCTAATTAAGGAGCCATTTTTCTCAGAAATAGTCTCACTTATGATTTGCCTTCTCTCACCTTCCCTGCTGAAGGGACAACTGCTTGAGGCCAGTCACACGGGGCCTGTTTTTGTTTGGTGTGTCTCAGTAGCATATTTATCACTTCTGCCCTGTGACACGGCAGCAGGAAGCGCGATCGTTGTTAATCCGGGCCCCAACCTATCCGGCATGATATTTTGTGAATTTGTGTGAATCATAATATCGGATTAGGTAGCTGCTTTTTGTCTAACCGTTATCCAAACAACCTTTCTGGCATGGTAGGACCTCAATAGACATAAGTCTCAACCAGTATAGCTTGTTAGGTCATTGCGATGTTTAAGCCCGACCACCATGTCAAGGTAGCAGCTTTCGGTCGGGCTACAATACCATACTGTCTGCTATTAAGTGAATACTTTTCAATGCACTAAAATATGACTCAATCCAGCTGGACGTGATATTTCTTTAATATAGGTCTTAAAAGGCCGACTAAAACTCAGTTAAATATGTTTCAAGTATTGGTTTTGTAGGGATTTTGTTTGATTATTTGGAAAACCTGGGAGTACTGAACAGCTGTTTCGTCCTAGTTTTGGAAAACCTGGGAGTGGTTCTCTAACTGATGTCAGCTCATGATTAAATCCTCCATGCAAATATGTTTCAGTTTTCTGGCTTGTTTTAATTTCCTTCTACTGATTCAGCCCCATCAAGGTGTTAGTTAAAGATGGCTACATAGAATAGGTTTTTCGGGTACTGGGGTATGAGGTACACTTATTGTGAATGATTGTCCGGAATGACGGGTGTGGAACAGGATTTGAACTCACAGCTCAGTGACTGAAAGCTGAGTCAGTGCTTGAGCCAACGAACCTAGTTCACTACGGAGATGGGTATGAAATATTCACCTGACTTCGCGAGTTGATATAAGTTAAAAAAAACACGATCTTCAAGTATAAAACTCACTTCAGGAGGATAATTGGCTGTTGTTTGTGGATACGGTGGCCATGATGCTGGGCAGATGACGTTCACATTTAATTCAATCGCATAACTGTCAGGCAGTGAAAAACGGAAATTTTTGCTCAACTGTCTACTTAATTCAATATCTTGGAACATAATTTCCATTTTGCGTGTATAATTCGGCCCGCATTCTGAAATATTACAAGGGCAAAGTGAATGGGGCAACTTGAGAAAAAAATATGTTGAGTGAAAACGTAGTTCACCGGTAGAACACTGAAACATACTATGCATTGCTCATTCAAACAAAAGCAAATAATCGAATTAATTTCTTCATGAGGGATGAATCAATGAAAAGTTGTCATGTACTGGTACGCAGTGCATAAGAATTGTTAATCTCTAATTCGATTCACGATCAAATGACCGACTAGTTTATTAAGTGATGAGCGACTTATTACAAAAGCCACCGGATAGTACTTTTACCACAACTGACTTGCCTCAAATTGGATTTCCTGAAACAACTCAGGGGAGTCGTAAACAGAGAGTTAAGAGGAGTCTGGTTTAATAGCAGTCACTAATTAATGGGACTGAAAGAGATTCGGATATATGTCAGTAAATTACAACTAAACGGCTTAATAACGATTTGAAGGCTTTAAAACAATTAGTTCCCTTTATGTGTTGCGCAAATACATTACACGATTCAGACAAATTACGTCTTCTTATTGATTTGAAGGCTATCAAAAAACTGATGACCATCGACTTGAAAACTACTGACGAGTCCTAAACTGGCATGAAATGACTGCGCAGTGCCCCTTGTTTCTCAGTGTCGATTTGTGACAAAACTCCTGTCCAGTCAACTGATGTTTCAAATTACAATAACAACTAGGCTGTGTGGAATTTGCCGTTGTATTCAACCGTAATAAAACTGAACATATGTCTCAATAAAATGTAGTAAATTCACTCATAGTAAACGCAGGAATACATCACATTGATAAGCAATCTGATACGAAAAACACTGATAATAATGGTGGATAAGAAAAAAAGAAAGTAAAGACTTATCAGTTCTTCCAATGTGATAAACAAAAGAGATATTGTATCATTTTCAATTCCTAAAATATTACCCAATCAGGATGTCTAAAAGTGTCATTTGATATACAGTAAAAATACTGTGTTGATCGGTCAGAAAAAACCATAAACACAACAGTATGATTATAGAATATTTCAGTGACCATTATTTTAGTGACTTCAGTTTTCTGTCATACGTGCACTGGTGTAAAGGAGTAACAGAAAAGATTTGTAGCTCAGAATGAAGTTAGTGCTGCTGGTGTCAACAACGTTGGAGGGAGAAGCTCAGCACAAAGCGTATCATCTCCAGTTATACAGAAAATTAAGACAGAGTAATTTTCAGAAACCACCTGCATTTCCATGCAGATGCCTCTTATTATTGTTATTACTATTAAAACATAGACTTGATACATGATGAGCACCAAGAGATGTGCCACAAAAAAGCTCATAGTCCGCGCAAGGGCTCCAATACTGCCCTGATGTCTAGACTAAAACGGCTGGTTCTCTTAAGGGATGAACCTTTGACTTGAAGTCTGATGCATAAAGCAATGGAGCAGTGTCATGAGCTGCGTTCCCATGGTTGATGGTGACCAAAACAGATCCATACGCCATTCGATCCTTTCGAGTAATGGAGTCCTTTTCCACAGTAGGTTTCGAATCAGGGTTTGCTAGGTCCCCTAGGAATACCTGCTGGTTTAACAGTCCGGTTGTAAACGCGGATGTTCACATTCAACTTTTCACTTTTGTGAGGAATATTTCCGGTGTTTGAAAGCAGTGAATAGGACTTACCTCGCGGAAGCTATGAACATATAGCCTCATGTGAGAGCATTTTAAGGGGGGCGAAGTCTTCCTACTCTCGGACGTACCAGGTTGTTCGTAGGTGCCAAGAGTTATCTGCTAGATCAATTGGGCCACAAGTGAAAATAAGCTACACAAATTGTGTGCTGGTTAGTGATATTACCTGGCTGCCCAAGCCTCAGTAGATGGAGTGGGATTCGAACCCACGACCCATTGGTGGGCTGTTGAGTGCCTACATCAATGAGTGAAACAGCGCTCCACACTGGAGTGATTTCCATCAAATAACATTGTAAACAACATCAATAAGAGAAGAGAACAGAGATCTCAACAAACAAACAAATTAAAGGGTTGATTAAAAGGAGTATTAAAGGGGTTAAGAAAATCTACTTGATCCAAAAACTAATTCCAATAGGAGTTCTATTACTACACTGTCTTTTTCGTCTTCTAGATTCCTGCTACTCCTGACATGAATAATTTCAGTGTTTCGCCGTTCCTTTGCTCACTGCTTGCATTCCAAGTGGAAAATAAGGCATTAGGCTTTGAATTTTCGGTAACGGTAGAGTTGTTTTCATGGAGTGGGGTTGCTATCCTTACGTCTAGCCTTCTTGTTTTCCAGGCTTATCAGCAGGGGCTAGGGATAGGTTTAAGAGAAGCTGAGAAGAAACACAATACTTCTCTGTCTCATGACTACTCATTCCAGCAAGAAAAAATGGTCAGACTTTTAAATCAATCAAGTTAAATGCCAAACTTAGGCATAGAGACATGTTATGAAGTAGATGTTAGTGAATATGCGAATATTTTAACAAACACTTTACGTCAGATTGCTATTCATTTCAAAGTAACAGAAGAGAATTCAAATATTCATGGAATCAGTGACGGCATTCTGAGTAGTGAGATATAGGTATTTGCTTATGTAAATCCATATACGGTGTTCTCAAACCTTAGAATGGTGGTGAAAGACAGGAGAAGTGCACAGATTTCAAATATCAGCGAAAAAAATAACTAGAATTACAGAAGAAAAGTGATTATTGATAATCCAGCGAACGATGAACTCACCCTGTTTTAGTTTTGATAACATCGCTTTTTCTGCATCAACGGATGCACTCTTGTTGAGAAGAAGACGCTTTGCTAATTCTTTAGTATAAAATGCTTCAAATATATCCTTTCCATCAATGAAACGGAACAAAATCATAGCCTGAAATTAACATAAAGAATGGTTTTGAGAGGCAATTCTTTGTGAAGTATTAACTTGAATACGCCACATGCATGTATCTCTCTCAATGGCAAAATGTTAAAAAAGCACATTTCCCAGTGACTGTGAAATTTGAGAGGGCTTGATTCATCAATTGTTGTTGTTGTCTGGAGCAGAAAACCACAAGGTAATATAACGAAATGAATTGTTTTAGATTGTTTTTTTTTAATCATGAAAATTGTCCATGAAGTCTTATTATTACTGGTTGTGTCACAATTAAGTGGACGCATAAAAGCCATTAACCAAGGACAAGATGACATTTAATTCTAACTGCTGTCATTCAGAGATAATTTACCTTGGAGCTACCTACTGTACATTGCGTACAGTGTACACCTGAAGGTTGTGCTCATAGTTATCAGAATTCACTTCCCCGGGACATGTTTCTCCTGAAGTAGGCTATGAATCGCACTTATTGAGTGAAGGCTGATGATTCTGCTCAGGAGCCGGATTCGAAACTGAAACCCACTGACTAGAAGTCGAGTACTTAAACCAACAAGTTGTATTCAGAGATAACTGCACAAAGAGAAAGCAAAGAGCAGAACACATTTGTCCCCTGCAGATTTAAACTAATTTACCCCCTGCTTTTCAATACATAACTTCACAACCAAACATTGCCATAGTACTTCTTAGTCGACAGAGTTGAATTCCGCTTTAAAGTCAAGAAATACGGCAATTGTTGGGCACCGGTAAGTAGGTCTATATTCAAGAATCTGCCGAAGAATAGTGATGTGATCAATACACTCTCTTCCTTGCCTGAATCCTGTCTGAATAAATAAGGATGTATACATATAGCCAGTTACAAAATAAATAAAATCGAAATAACTAAAGATACAAAGTAAGTAGCCTTAGGTTGTCTTGAATAAAATCTTTGTGCATGCATACAAAATGTTCAGTATTTCTCTAGTGACTTCACAGAATTTAAGGGAATTCTTGAAACATAGAACTTCGAAAAGACAGTTATTCATCCAGTGTACAACAAATAATAACAATAAACGTTAACAATCTTAAGAAAAAAGACACGCTTCGTATTACAATCACACCACACTACAAGCGTATTAAGGGACATCTGATTTACAACAGGCTTAAGCCAAGTTGAGTATTATCTTTACCAACTTAGAAGAATATCAACAATATCAAGAAGTAATATATATTATCCCCAGTAATGAGAACAATGTACTTCAGTGGTAAGAGTAGACCGAACTCCTTGGTTGTTCCAATCTGAGTGGATGGGGTTATATCCAAAAATGTAACTTTATGTAGGGTAACTCAGGACATGGATTACTCAAGTATTTTTTATCACCTACCTAATTTTTGACCATAGAATTGTCATAACAAATATCAGTGACTCCGGTAAAATGAGAAACAAGGTATTGTGGAGGTTTTGAACTTGGTCATCCAAGCATACAGTCTTATATAGTTGCTCCTAGTTCTTACCCGATGAGATGCAAGGAGAGAGTTGTGTATGGGGGGGCATGCTCAGAGTCTGACAAGATAGGAGTCTATATATCTACCTACAATAAGTATTAACGAGTTCGTTTAGCAACACCCCACTCGCCTTACTGACGGCTTTTAGTGCTCTTTGCAGTATAACAAAGTCATTATTAAGTAGCTTCGTTACTACTATTCCTTTGTCTCTCACCTCTGTTTACTGTCTCTATTATGCATTTCTTGTACTTTCTTCTCTTGCCTTGTGTGGTACATGGTGTGTCGACTTGAACTGCTGCACATATGTGCAAAGTTCTACGTCGAAAACAGACAGACTTTATTAAGTAGCCCGGGAAAGATTAGCATGGGGCAGTATGAAATATAGACAGAATACAAGAGTTAACTAACTGTAACAGCAGAGACGACATGAAACCGGATAGTCTTAACTTCCCTACGTGTAACGTCAAACGAAATATGTAGTGACCAGGAATAGACATTAAAGAAAAACACTTACTTTATCCATTAGTTTGTCTAACTCCTCTTCTGTTTGAGCTTTATTTCCTGATCTAAGGTGGGAATCAAGATATTTAGCTAAAAATTCAGCCGGTTTATTTGGACGTTGATTGATAAACTCTTCATACGCTTCTTGCAAAACTCGCATAAAACTGGAATCATTAGCGAAGCATGATCCTATAATTTCTGAAAGGAAGTCCCGTGAATCCAGTAGATTCTGAATCATAGCACGATCCTTTTCAACGTCCTGTAGTGGGTTTTCTACTATTTCACGCCCCATTTGTATAATGTAATTACGGAAATGCGTCCGTAGTTTATCAATACCATTTGGAACTCTTGAAATTAAGGAATAGAATAACGATAACTGTGCTGTTTGTTTAGTTTTTAAAGGATTGACCAAACCATTATCCAATAGATAGTCTAATGGGCGCGTTAACAATTCTGAAACTAGCGTTGAAATAAGGAGGCTGCGGGTAGAGTTGGCATCTAAATATACAACTAATCTGTCTTCCTCCTCCATAATCCTTTTGTCTACATGAAGTAGGTATTCAGGAACACTAAGCTGTCTAGATAAAGAATCTGCTTCGTAGGTATACAGCTGCTGACTTTTACGCAGAAATTCATTAAGAAATACTGAATCATACAGCTAAATAAAAAATAATCAAGATTAAGTAAAATGAGTACATAAACCTACAGATTACAATGGAGATAATAAATCTCCTAAAAAAGTACTTTAAAAGCTAAAAAATATTCAAACTTAGTGGAATTCCACAGGGACTTGTAAAGAAATATATCCGATTCTTCCTGAATATATTACCCATATTACAATTTCAGGTATTGAAATAACCCACGAATAGTTGACAAAACATTTATTAATATTATTATTTATTTAAACGCATAAAAAACTTGGCATGACATGCCATTTGTTCCGACTGGATTCTGGAGCCCGTGTACCCCATGGTAACTGCTTTTAGTCTAACCGTTATCCAAACAACCTTCCTAACATGATAGGACCTGCAGGGACATGAATTCCAGCCAGTTTAGCTTGTTGGGTCACTGCGGTATCCAAGCCCGACGACTATGGTAAGGTAGCTGTTGCAGGCCGGGTGACAAAACAACTCACTGATGCGCAGAAACTAAAGGTCCTAATCCCTTTGAACGCGTCCAGATATGTAAGTCAGGAAGTGCGACATGATACATAATACATTTCAGTCTGATGGGACCATGTTCTTAGCTATAAAACAAGTACAGAAGGTCAAAACAACGAGATTCGCAACCTTCACCCACTATTAACCACACACTGTATACATCTTACCAAAACCTAACCTTTGGAGACAACCATTTACGAACTAGGTCAAAAAAACATTACTTCCAGACTAAAACTATCTCTTCCAAAGGTAGCGATGATGACAGCTAATGACTTCAGGCGAACGTTGATTAGAGCTAATGGATCTTTATAGATTTATTTGCACTGACCTACATAAAAAGACTGATTCTCGTAGGCTACGGACTTGACGCCTAACAGCTACTTAAATATAAACTAAGTAGGATTTATCGTAACCAGTGTCCAAAATTATGGGTGTAAAAAACAAAACAAACGGTTAAGACTTTACTACCAGATGTCACACACCGAATGTTATCGGCTGTTGATGAGACAGACACAGGAAACACTACAAGGAAAGAGATGAAGGAAAACTCCAAAGTGCATACACACAACATGAAGAGTCAGTAATTAACAGTCATAATGAACTAGAAATTAGACTGTTCCAGTAGAGTAATTGTTTAATGTGGCATTTTTGGCTAGATATCCACTTAGAGAACAGATCCTAAATCAGATGAGATCACATTTAAACCCAATGTTACGTTGTACTTTCAAGCGCATTCTAGCGATTCAACTAAAAATTTTGTCAATCTATACATTAACTTTGCTACTTCTTCTGTGATGAGTTATCAGTTAGTGAGAACAAAGCGTTACGGGGGAATACAAAAAACACATCTGACACTAAATCCAATGATGGAATTTAGTCTTAATTGTCGAACTAGTCTTCACTTAATCAAACACGATACAAAATTCACAATATTACTTATTTGTTCCTAACGTACGTAAATAATAGTAAAGAGACATGCGGAATTCGATTAATCATTGAACACTGAGCTTCGTGGTTAACAAATATATAACGTTTACGGGGGGATTTGAAGGCACAGTCACCGGGAAACTCATCATAAAGCATTTGGATACCAAACATGTAGCAATATGTATAAGTTTTAAGTGCTTCTATCTGAGCAGATAAATTGCATCCTTACTCTACACACGTACAGCCTGTCAGTGGTTTTAAAGATTATACAAGACATCATATTCACAAGATTGTGACGTTATTTCACAAAATACTAACAGAAAAAGTGCTAAAACAGCCTTTAATAATATTATTTGAATGAAAGTTGGAGAACCTACCTTCAAGTCCACTAACATCCTAATGACAGTACGCAGAAGCTGTCGATCAACAGCTTCCCCATATCTTTCTTTGTGTATTTCTTCCAGTATTTGACATAAAAGACGGGATTGAACTTTTTCTCGAGTAATCACATCTTCTCGAAACAGTTTAAGCGCTAAATCCCTTTAAAAGAATGGAAAAGACAAATAAAACGGAGGAAAATATTACAGTACTATTCGTCGTCAGTTCGATCATTACGTAGCTAAAGGCAATAAACAAAATTCTTTAGAAATAATGTTTCTAAGAATGAAAACAGACTATGAAACTAACTTTACTATTTCCGTAGTCCACATATGTAAACCTTACTAAGTTTTCTTTGAATTCTGTTTTAACGAGGAATGTGCACTAAAAAACTAGACTTCACTGTGAAAACCGATTTCTGAGTAAAATTAATGTCTATTAAAGTAGTGTCTTCATAAGTATATTTTTTTGAATATGTACATTTGTGCGTCGGTGGCACAGTGGCAGAATGCTCGCCAACCACGCAGGTGGTTCGGCGTTCGGCCCCCAACCGACGTACCCCTTTGCCTTTCTAGGCCAGTAATATGACTGGTAAATAGGGGAGGTTGAGCATGAGGCTAGCAATCCCATGCCGTAAAGCTAAACACCACTGCTACCTAAACTTCAAGCCTCTAGCTTGAAGCCCTATGTTCGTTTGGGAACGTAAAGGAATTATACATATATTCATGGAAGAACGGTGCTTTGGTGTTGGTGACAGTTTGTATGTTAGTAATTTAACAGCAGCTAGACAATGAGTCATACGTATCACATAAGAACCAATAACACCACATAGCAACCTGTGACCTACTGGCTAAAAATCTAGTAACTGGTTTCGGAACTAATGCACAACAGTTCAGAGAGAATGAAGAACTATGGATCATTGATGTAAGGACTCCCAACGAGATATAGGTTTGAATCCTACTTTAATCACTGGTACTTTACCTCGTAGGTGATATTATCATGTTATCCAACAGATGTCTCATTTCCAAGAGCACGGAATTGCATGTGATCGGCAGAAAACAACATAACATTATTGTGCAGCATTTGATGTCGTACCTCATATTTTCAGGTGAACAATTTAATAGATGGAGACAAAATGGAAACAGCATGAACAAATATCGCAGAATTGTATAAAATGAAAGTATTTACAGTCAGAGGGCGGGTAACAAGTTAATGACTCTTGTCATTCCGATCTTGACGGCTCACATCTTTCCCCGACTGAATAATCAATTAGTCCACGGGAAACTGTCACCCTTCACTGATATTTTACAGTCACTCCAAACCTCTCCCAATCACACCATACACAACTTGTTAATGACGACAAGCAATAAGAATCCATCATGGCAAATGAGGTTCTCACCACTAATGAGTTATCCTCCCGAAATTATTTACAACTTACACATGGTCTCATTGACAATGACGGCAACTCAACAGTCGCCAGACATATCAACGATGGAAGAGTAACACAAAAATAACTATTATTATACAGTTACTTAAAATAACAGAACATATTCCTACAGAGTACATATTTTATCAATGTCACCAGGCAAACATGTCACGGTAAATAGTGAACAATTCACCTAGTTTCACAAGTTTTTTTCGGAACCACTAAGTTAATAACAGCTGCACATAACCAGAATTTCACGCCAACTAATATAAATTGTATGTGCCTTAATACGATGATATTCAAATTGCTTTACATTCAAGTACTTCTGACGAAATATCACACATTATGTTTTTTTCGAACTTTTACTTATAAATAGAATTACTCTTGAGATAATTTTTCCTTTCTTATTACTGTAAATGTGACAAGCTCTATTTACGAGTCCTAGGAGCTCGTAAACTTGTTTGGCTACAAATATCGACTAAAAAGACTGATCAACAAATCAAAGTGGAACTAATATATATATATATATATATATATATATATCCGTGCAGGGGAGGTATTTTCCAGACAGCTCTGAAGGCGTACAGTAGTGCAGATTCATTACCTAGGCATACAAGCCAGCCAAACGACGCAATCACTAGGCAGTTAATATCTAATTATAATGTACAACATAATGGACGAACGTGATTTCTCATTGTATACAAACAGCGAATAAAAAACGTAAATCCAGGCTGTATTTCGGGGCTGGAATTACAAAACTGGGCTGAAAATGCTTCAGTGCGAGTTCTATTCTATGTCTACAAAACTTGATCTCTCCGTCCCATTGATCTTTGGTGACTCTAGTCATTGGAATCGCTAACATTCAACAGCAAAAATAAGGAATTTTTGGGATCAGTGGCTTATATTCATACAAAATGGTTATCTTCCAACAAGGAACATAGACTTCAAATATCTACATTCTTGTGGTGATTGACAATTTCTATCTCTGTATTGTTTAAATACTTACTGTTGATTGTTAATATGTTTCTTATATGAATTGCATAATAATTCCGCTAAATACAAATTCCTGAATTCTACCCTCTCTGTGTTTTGTGTGGATTCGTGTAATTCGGTCATCTCGAAATACTAATACTTCGATTACAATAAATTACTACAATTCTCCCAGCGGCTCACATTTGGCTCACTATTTTCCAGTCCTAGAATTGGTTGATATAATTGTAAGTTTATAGTATTGGGTTAACACCTAGGAAATCATGATTTTTCAAAAATGACTAAATTAATACACAGTTATGACCGATTTATCGGATATTTACAAACACATGTCAATAGAGTGTATTATTCAAAACTTCCAGACGTTTGGCAGACATTTTTGACACACAACCTCAAAAGTCAGTAACTGTGCAGCAAGTTTATGACAACTTAAATGAGAAGACACACTCTTTGTTTTACCACTGATAGCATAGGATACGAAACACCTTAGGTACTAAAAGCCAAATCACAATTAAATTGAATACAAATACAATATTATTTGGTTTACCTACCAAATCTGCAAATTTTGAGGATTTAAGAGGAGCAACTGTCTGTCCATAAAAAGAAATATGTTTCTAATTAAAAGCTATAGATATAAACCATGTGATAATTTGACTGACCATCTTTTTGCAATATAGCTCCCAACAGTACGCAACTGATTTGAGCTGAAAACCTTCTGTGAAAGAAATGTGTTAAGGTAGCAGCAGAAGTGGAAAACCATATTTGATTAAGCAGCACTAAAATACTAAGAATGTGGATGATCTGGCATTTCGTAAAACTTAAAGAAAAACACCACTTAATAGCTCTATGAAACTAAAACACAATATAAGCAGAAACCAAACATTGGCCCCTAATCATTACAAGGAACGTCAAACACCGTTCATTTAATATGGTATAGTTGAATAAGAATACGCAATACAAGACTCACATAAATCTAAATCCCGCTAATTTGTCTGTAATATGAAAATCCAAAAATGCGCAAATACCCACGCACTAAAAGCTTTTCCGGATTTTCGTCCTTAGGAAAATGCTAGGATAGTTCGTTTGCTGCAGAGCAGTTTTATGCAGACTAATCGAAATACTGGAGTGCAAACTAATGAAGATTAAACACCCAGCTGATGATTCAATAAACATGTATATATTTCAATGCTACTAATAGTAAGAACTGCAAGCACTAGAAAACAAAATACTAGTGCCTGATCCTTAATAAATAATTTACCACCTAATAAAAACCATACTACATCTCAGTAACCTGTAAACTCCTCTGATAGGTGAAGAAAATGGATGGTTTCCAGTGGTACAACTGAATACTATCCAGATTCCTAGAAGTCTATGGCAATCATAACGACCATATTACAAAACGAGTGCTGGTTTATCAAACTGATTTAAAAGGATATTTGAGGAACTGGGGTTGCAAACTAGAGACGAATTCACTGAATAATACATTCAGTTTTGCATACAGTTCCATTATCATCCTTTGAGCACATATATCCTCGACATTCTATAAGTATGAAATTCAATAAACTGCAGACAAACCCTATAGAGCTCCTCTAACGTCAATTCGACAGGTTCGCTAAGAAAAACCGCCTTTGTTGCACTTTGCAGCTTCGAGCATGAGTCCTGAAAAATTTGTGACGCCGAAGGAAGGATCTTAAAATCTATTACATATATTTAATTTTTCGTAACACATACTAGAGATAGTTTTCAGTGAAAGGCGCTTTGCAGAGGGGCCACAGTGGTCGAACGAATGTGAAACAGTTTTTCGAAACCCACTAACTGACATTTTACAATCCTAATTATTTAGTTTCAAGGAAGCATCATGAAGAAGTAACGCAGATACCTTCAAATATTGCGCAAACTGAATATCCATTATCAATATCCCAAGTCACTTTGAATCTGTTGGCTTTTCGTGACTTCGTTTGCTGTGATGGGAAACAGATGTATATATCAGACGGATTTTTCGGAGCCTCATGGATAAAAACTGTGTTGAAATCGCTTATTTTCCGTTTTCCGATGAATGCTGAAAGCAAACCTGAGTCTTTAGGCTAGTAATGGCAGAAGAAATTACCTAAGTAATCGACTGAACTAATGTCCACCATCTACAGAGCTCTACGAAATAATTTTATCTGGCATTGGACCTGAAAGTAATTTAGAAAATTATTTTGAAGGGGATCTTAAATAGCAGTCACTCTGAAATCACTTAATTTTATGGCGAATCGACCATATTCATTGTTCTCATATGTTGAGAGCATGTTTGCATTGCGGGATGCTCATTCACAACAAAGTCACCCAAATTAGAAATTCTTATTCTCCATGAAGATATCCTAGAAGACGTTTCAGAATTCCTCAACGACACTTCATCAGACTGCTATGGTTGTCTGGAATTGGCTATAATCTAGAAAGTATCACTTACTGACCAACAAAAAGTAGAGGAACTCTTCAGAGACGTTCAACGAGGAGACTGTGAGTCCTCACAAATTTTCCGTCAAACGAAATAGCTGGATGCTAATTCCCGAATTGACGGAACATGCCTAAAACAATAATGGTTGCAAAGGCTATTGTTGTTATTACAGTGCAAAGAATGCTTGCATCTTTTCACAAGTCACGACTGAAGGAATTAACAGAGGCGGCCGACAGAGTTGCCAAGTCTGCCAGACCGTTCACAAGCATTTCCATGGTCTTATCCACAAACTCTGCATATCAGAAGGGCATCAATTCAACGAGTAACTCACCCAGTTTTGACATCAAACAAATGCGTCAAGGGCCGTGTAGTCTTCGGGACGGCTTGGACGTAAAAGTCCTCCACATAATCACACGATTTGCTTTTGTAGTAAGTCTTCCCACTTAAAAGAAACAGATAGTCGAAATCAAAGATCTCGCAACCTGGTATTTGTTGGTATAATAGACGTTAAGGTGTCAATGAACAAAGGTGTACTCGTCCCTGCACATTCGACAGTAGTTAGTCGCGAAACGCTTGAGCCAGCACGTAATGGCGATTAACCTTGATGGAGAACCATTCTTTTATCGCCTATTTTATGCCGCAGGCCGTAACTCTAGGATACGTTTCCTGGTTGATACTGGGGCAGAACCTAGCTTCATCTGACCTACATCAGAAGAGCGTCTGTGGCCAATACGTCTACAACTACGCTCCGGCGGTGGTTCACCTGTCACAACCTATGGTAGAAGGTTCTTGGACCTTATTATCAGACTTCGTCATTCTTTCCGCTGGGTTTTCATCATGACCGAAAGCTATCTGCATACGAAATGCAATAAAGTACTTTCAGTTGGGTAGATACTTCGAACGTAAATCACGTCACTTGGAGTACATTTCAGAATTCATGTCGGACATCCGGCATGCTTCTTGTGCAGAAAACTCGCTGATGAATTCATTCTCGGTGATCTGGACTATGGAAGTCCTGCCAACCATTGATATACACACGATGTCAGAACTGTAGTTATCAGATTAAATGTAGATAAACTTCTCCACAACTCTTCCCTGAAGGAAAGCGTATGCCTCTTCTTAATGTAGAAGAAACCATTTATTGCGACATATCCACAGGTACCTCAGATAACCGGTGCATTCCACACATACCATGTCCTTATTTAAGGATCTTCCATCGATAACGGAATACGAGAAAGAGAGAAATGCTCACAAGAAGCAAAATAAAAACTGTAATTTTAAGCCTATAAATAATAATAATATTTATTTCTGGAACAGAAACCAGCCATTTTTACAGGCATGCACATACGTACGCTTATTAAAACTTATGGAATATGTAATATGATATGTTAATTGAGAAATAAGTTGAATAATGGTAAATGTGAGTGAAACATTTAAAATGATGTGTACACATAAGGAAATAGATATAGCGTCAAATCTAAACGGTGATTGAAAAAAATACGTGTCAATTTCACGCGGGAATATGGCACAGTGGGTAGGACTCTCGCCGACCACTCACATGGTCCGAGGTCCGATCCTCTGTCGACGCACACCCGATATCTATGATCGGCCTGCGAAATTTGGGCTACCGACATCCATGCTGAAAATTCCATACTTGTATCAAAAATACAGTGTGGAATCAAGCTGTAATCAAAAATAAATATAGTTTCCATCTCATATATTTCTATCCCTTTCATTTATTCTGCCTCTCATAACTTTCTGAATGTAGAGCTTTTGTCCACGAAACCCTGGAAACCGGATGAAATCAGTACCTACCGACGTCGTATGGATTGTTCTTCAGTTTTAGTTTCACTAATTTTACATTTCGTCTGTTCTCCTAGTCAGATCGGTGCCTGTTTCACCATCGCAAGCTACAGTCTAAGGTTGCTGATATCACACAACACTTCTGGGGGGAATACCCTGCAGTGCAATCCCTAATGTTTAATGTGTACATATACGGACTTGCGCCAACAACATTTTGCGCTTTTCCGATGTGCTGTCAACAGAGACATAATTTGATTTGTAGTGCAGCCATATTCGTTACATGAGTTCCAGACCTTCTTCTCGGATGACCCTTATATATTGTTTTACTCAGATACATCGCTAACGAAAGAACTATTCCCATATAACTAACTGTCAATGTAGTTGAAGATTGGATGATCAATTCATGGTTGTTTGCTCAAACCCAACTGCATATTTTTCGCGGGAGTCATCAGTACGGGAGTCATCGTCTCATCCTTCGCTGTTCGGTGGAAGAGAGAAAGCTATCAGAAGTATTATCGTGATTTATTGTTATAACATTTATTCTTAGACCTTGTGTGTAATAACCTTAATGTTGGTTACATATTGGCGTAAGAATATAGGATTCTCGAGTCGCCAATCTGTGTTCTGGTTTTTCGCGTTGGCTAATACAAATCGTTCCTGAAAGTCTTCCAGGGACGGCGTGAGGTCCAGCGTAGTAAGACCAGGACATTGACAGTTTCTGATGGCTTCTGTTCGTCTTTCGTCGTGTCTGCCCGTCTTCTTTGGACAAGTGTTATCCGGAACTTTCCTGGATTGTTTGGTCAAGTTCAGTAATGCCTGGGTCAAAGAAAGGACATAACGTCTTGGAAGCAGACAGGAAACTAAGTAATGCTGAGTTGCTTGTTAATTGTGATGAAAGGTATGACACTCAGCATGATGAGTCTGTTGTTCATGGTTCGCCGTCTAGCGATAGTAAGGGTTTAAATTTACCTATGTTCGAGCCTCGGTACTTTGATGGAAACCCAACAAACTATCCACAGTTTATCAAAGGGTTTGGGGTCATGTTGAGTGCTTTTTATTAAATGATGAAATGAAGTTAATGTCTTTGTTGAGGTACTGCACTGGAGTTGCTGCAAGAGCTATACAGTGCTGTAAGGTTATGCCCTCAAACGAAGGATGTACTGAGGCGATGCGTATCCTGCGTCAAAGGTTCGGAAGACCTTCCATGATTGTAAGGAACGTATTCGAGGCTGTTAAAGGTAATCGTAGTCAATTACACGATAACTCCAAGGCACTATCTGAGTTTTTGGATAATCTGATGACTTGCAAGAATACGTTGATTTCGATGAATTGCATGAGCGATCTGAACTCAAGTTCCGTCCTAGAGGTAATAGCGAGACACCTGCCTACTCTACTGCAAAGGAAGTGGGTGAAGATAAG